CATCTTTTCATGAATTGCCATTATGCAAACTTTATATGGAGAGCAATACAATATTCTTTTGGTCTATGCCCTCCTAGTAGTATATCACATATTTTTTATGGTTGGCTTTTGGGGGTGGACAAGAAAAGGAGTAAGCTTATACTTGTGGGAGCCTCTGCAATATGTTGGGCTCTGTGGTTGAGCATGAATGATTTGGTTTTTGACAAATCACCATCTATTACATATATGCAGGTAATTTTCAGGGCAACATATTGGCTCCGGTGTTGGGCTCAGCTACAAAGGTGTGATGAAGATGGCGAGTTTATGAAGGTTGCATGCCGTAGGCTTGAGACGACAGTTATGCAACTTTTTGCCAATTATGGTTGGAGATTCACAAATAGATTTCAATTACGTGTTCTCCTTATCTTAGATGGGTTATTTTTTATTTTAAGTGCGTGTTCTCAATGTTTTGTTGAACTATACTCTCTTTTTTGAGTGCAACTTTGTAATAATTAGCTGTAGCTCGTTTTGAGCAAAGGCCGGAATATTCTATTCCATTATCTAAAAAAAATTAGTTTCCAAACATAAGATTGCAGCTTATTGTTGACAGGCTAAGGGCCAGGAAAAAAAACTAGAACTAAAGAAAATATTGGTAGTGATTAATTCCAAACTTGGGAATTATCAAATCATGAAAAAGATAGTTAGTACTCCTCCATTCTAAATTGTAACAAGTCTTAGCTTCCAACCACACTGGTGGAGAAACCCACAATAATCCCGTTTTGCAAACCCCTTCACTCCCGGGTTGCAAACCGGGAACCTGAATCCGGAACTAAAGATTGACAACTTTAGTCCCAGTTGAAATATGCCGGGATTAACATCAACCGGGACTAAAGATCATATAGTCCCGTTGGAGTTTTAAACCGGAATTCAAAATGTTTTTTAGTCCCGGTTGAACATTTGTCCCAAAATATAATAATTTATTCTTTTCTCAACCAATCATAACATTTCATCTTTTAATTTTCTCACCTACATTTTCTTCTCAATCAATCACAACCTTCACACATTTAATACCTATTTCCAACCCCATAATTCCTTATATTTTGGGAGACGAAGGTAGTACTTATTGATGGCGAATTTCAGACTTATTAAAATGTCAAATGTTATAAATAAGACTCAAAACCAACTAAAACTTGATATTTTAATTATATATTTTGGAACTATTAAATCATGACAAATGTATAATTGAGAGTAGAAGCTAAATGCAACCCAGTAATTATTAATTCTGATATTTTAAATACAATGAAGAAAATACATGAAGTTGAAACCCTAAAACGTAAATAAATGGGTAGTGTTTAGTTCAAAATTTTATAATTATTGAATCTCATAGAAACATCTGTTAGTTATATGAATTTCGAAATTATTAATTAAGAAAAATATTAACACTCCAGGCTAGGACAAATCAATACTTATTGTTCAAAAACTAAACAAATATTAAATATTGAAAAGCTATAGTCAAAAGTCCAAACCAACTTTATTAGTACGTATTTAATCCTAACGTGCAAATTAAATTATTACAAACAACAAATTGGAACTCCAACAAGAGTACAAATTGTTATGTAAGATCGGTTATTTGTACATTTTTTAGTTGTGAACACTTTTAACAATCCTTTAGTAATGTTTGAGCTATAAATAAAATGAACTGTATTTTTAGAATGACCTTGGTTAGTTATGAATTTCAAAATTATTAAATTAAGAAAAATATTAAGACTTCAGTCTAGGACAATTCAGTACTTATTGTTCAAAAAATTAACAAATATTAAATATTGAAAGCCTATAGTCAAAAGTCCAAACCAACTTTATTAGTATGTATAGATCCTAATCTGCAAATTAAATTATTGCAAACAACAAATTGGAACTCCAATAGTAGTACAAATAGTTATGTAAGATGGGTTATTTGTATGTTTTTTTAGTTGTGAATTCTTTTAACAATCCATTTCGATTGTTTGAGCTATAAATAAAATGAACTGTATCTTTAGAACTTAAAAATAAACATTAATTTCAATAAAAATATGTTTGAAAATTTAAATATAATAATACCCTAAATGATATCTGTGCAACGCACGGGTTGGCGGCTAGTCTATACTAATTGGGCACTTTCTGTGAGCTCTCACGTTAATTAGAAAGATTTAGCCATTAATTATTTAGATCGTAATATCACAACTGTAGATAATAAAAATACTAATTGGGCACTTTCTATGAGTTCTCATGTTAATTAGAAAGATTTAGCCATTAATTATTTAGATCGTAATATCACAACCGTAGATAATAAAATATAACCTCATGGGCCAACTTTAAAACCCATCTGACCATGGTACATTTAATGCCCATCCGACTATTGTATGTACGTGCTTTATCATGTAACAAACAAATCATATGCCTATACCATCTAACAAAAAATCCTATCTTTGTGTACTCCGTAACGAAGAGGACCACAGATGGAACGATCCTACCTTCATTATGAGAGAACAGATGCGAACTCAAGCGAACGGCGAACGGCAGCGCATTAGATTAATTTCACCACCGACAAGCTAGCTGCTGCTATGAACGACTCACCCTTCATCCCGATTTGCAGCGAAATGAAGATACCTGCAGACAGTAGTTGTGCGTATGTTATACATGCAGGCATGCAACTTCGATTGATTTGCTTGGCGTTTCTAACACTGTTTTTTAATCCTCGCAGGACATGCAACCATCCTGCCTAATTGACTGAAGAAATGCACACGATGACGAGTTGCTGCTGTTGCCGCTCCTGTAGAACCGTGTAGTTACTTCATTGGTGGTATTGCTTATTCTGCTGTTTGCAATATTTTTCTCATTAAATTTCATGCCTTTATTAAGATTTAAATCTATGGAGAAATTATCGGATGACTTTTGTATTGCAACTACATAGAGTTTTTTAAATTTTGACCCTATTTTTTTCCTCACAACATGTTCTTATGCGAAAGAAGACAGAGGATGAATTGCAATAATCATGGTACCCAGTCATCGACATGCGTGAACAAATAAATGAAAATTTTGATGGCGTAATGCAATTCATGGCTGCTCTTTTTTTTTCATCGATACACCTGAATGTACTCTCAAGTCTCAACACATGGTCATGAGATAAAGACTCTCTAAGATTCTATTAAACGTGCATCTATATATGTGTAATATATGTTGGTGTCAGGATCCAAATCATGGAGGCTAGAGTCCAGGCAAATATTATATATATATATATATTTATTATGTTGCTTTTGCTAATATTTTTTTCAGAGTTAACGAGTTAGTAGGATGGGATAAAAGCTAGATCTTCTGGAAGAGGTAACTCGAAGATGATAACTAAATACCTTTTTAGTTAACCTCAAGGCAATGCTCTATTTCTAATTGTAGTGTACCTCCAATAATTCTCCATAATTAAGTATATTCATGCTAAATTTCGTTTGAAAATTATCCAACTACGATCCATATCATTACAATGTTACAAAAGCATTGCAAACCAATCCAGCTCGATCTTATGTGTGGACTTAAATACTCCCTCCGTTTTTTAATAGATGATGCCGTTGACTTTTTCTCGCATGTTTGACCATTCGTCTTATTCAAAAAATTTATATAATTATAATTTATTTTGTTATGAGTTGTTTTATCACTCATAGTACTTTAAGTGTGATTTATATCTTATACATTTACATAAAATTTTTGAATAAGACGAATAGTCAAACATATGAGAAAAAGTCAACGGCGTCATCTATTAAAAAACGGAGGTAGTATGTTTTAAGTAGTATAAGCAATATGTTTATACATCTATAAGTGAATCCTTTCTTAATTCATATGTGACTAATTTATATTTAGCATATTACTTGGCATCAAGTCGATGAATCATAAAAGGTGAAGAAAATAACACACATAAGCACTACATACTTCTATTTCATATGACATAAATATATTTTTATATTATATATACTCCATCAGTTTCGGTCGATGTTACTATGTATCAATAATCTGGTTTAGAATTTATTTTAAATTAAACATACCATATAGGCAATCCTTTAGTCCTTTTATTTTTTTTTTTTAGTTTAGTCTGAAAGGAAGATTCCAAAGTTACAACTTGCAACTTATTAATTCCTAATTTCTGAATATCAAACTAAAAACTACAAAATTATGAGTAGAATAGAAAAACAAGCATGAAGTGATTAATGATTAATTTCAGAAATATTAAATTATGTAAAATTCTATAATTGTTACTCCAATAACAGTACAAATCGATACTTACTAATTACGAATGTTGGAACTACAAAATTATGAAAATTCAAAAATGAGACACCAAACCAATTACAATTCAATAGTTATTAAACATGATTTTAGAATTATTAAATCACGATAACATTAAGATTAAGACCCCAAAGCCTTTTCTCTAAAAGAAATATCAAGACCCCAAACCGAATACAACTGGATATTTTCTAATCATAAATCGTGAATCATTTTAGATTTCAAACCAAATACAATTAGATACTAATTAATTATGCATATTTAATTATTATGTCACGAAAAGCTATAATGGAGGGGAACATGATGTGTGCACAAGATTTTTTTACACATCATGTACACCAACTAACAAATTTTATCGAAAAAATCTAAAAATGTACATCAATAAATTCAAAGATTTTTATTAACATCTATATTAAAAATATGATTAAATTTTTATTATTTGTAGTATCATAATAATAGTGCGTTGCACGGGTCGACGGCTATTTGCATTAATTCCTTCCATGTTTGACACAAGAAAAGGCCATGGCGAGGAGCCACCGGGCCCGGGGAGCCCTCGCGCCTGCAACAACAGCTTAGCAAGGAGTTGAAGAATAGGCTATGAAGCCAAAGCAGCTTCAGGCCTCGTTCGGTATGACCCGGAACGACCTCTGATCCAACCGGAACGAAGTGGCCCATTTAAAAATCTGGTCTGACCCGGAATCGTCATTCGTTTCGGCCGGCCCGGATTGGAAATGGGCCCGGTTTGGCCTCCCTCCCCCAGGAACCCTCCGACTCCAATCCGGACGCAAGACGCGAGAGGTGAGGGCGTGCGGCTGGTGACACGAGAGGCAACGGCGTGCGGTGCGAGGAGACGGCGTGGCGGCGCACTGACGTTGACGGCGACGGCGACAACTTCCCATCCGACGTCCGCGCTCTCCGCTACCTTCTCGCCGGTAACGCATCACCGTCGTCTTCCTTGTTCCTGGTAGGATTCTTGCTATAGTTCTTGCGGCGGATTTGGTTGCTGGAGCCCTTCGTGGAGGAGCTCTGGGAGCAGAGGGGGGAGGGGGAGGGGCGAGCGCTGGCTTCGCTCGCCGCCGCGCTCGAAGCGGCACTCGTGCTGCTCCGGCTCAGCCGCGAGGGGAGCCGAACATGAGGTTTCTTGATTTCTTGATTTCCGAACATCTCCTTGGTATGCGTGTGTGTGGATTTCTTGATTTTGTTCGATTCGTGGTCCTGGCTGCCTTTCTGGGAGGATTCGTGGTCCTGGCTGCCTTTCTTGGGCATGGCTACTGATAAATCGAATATTAGGTTGAATAAGTACACAAGTGGCAAGGAAGAAAAGCAAATGCTCTTATGTTTGTATAATACCATACAATATCTTCTAGCTTATATTACAGTTCTAAAATTTCATATTGATGGTCAAGTGAGATGAATTAATACATGTTTCTTTAGTTTCTCCTTTTTTTTTTGATTCTCATGCTTGTTGGAATTTGCAGCTGCAGACATCTCGAAAGATTTTAGTAAGTTCATTTCTTATGTAAATGCAGAGGATATTGGACAGTAGGAACTTATCCTGTCTATTTTAAGTTCCAAACTCATGTTCTGCTGTTGATGCCTTCAAAGTACTGGATAGAATGATCTAAGCTGCTAGGATAGCTCATATGGATTGCTTTTGTTGTTGATGCATGAAAACAGTTTTTCTAGCTCCAAAATTTCTTTGCTCAGGCAGTAATCCCATCTCCTATTTCTCATGTCAATCATCTGTAAATTGTGTACTTGTGTGGCCCATTCCTGTGCTTGTGTTATCCTATAATGTTGTGTTGAAAACTTGAAGCACGCAAACATTTATTTTTTTGGCAGACCTATAATCAATAGTACAACTCAATCATATCTCCTTGACAATTGACAAGAACATTCTTCATTGTTAAAGTATTTCAATTAGTAGAATCTGATGACAGTGTCCACATCTGATGACTCTCTGTATTTCCTAATTTCTAGTTACTTTGTGCTTTTATTCAGATTGTACCAGCAATTCCTAGAATTGGTGAAGACGAGCCGCCTCCTTCCTGGGACTTTGTTTTGACTCCGAAAGGTATTCCAGTAGTTTTCTCCCTCCTATTGTCCTGTTCTATATGGCTGCCCTGTTCTTCAATAAATATATGACTGCCCTGCTATTTTGGTATATAGTAATCCAATGAATATGACTTTGAGAGATTGTGTTAGAGGACGATGACATGATGCTCTTTCTTTTCCCTGCCCTTTCTGTTTTGGGTTCTAACCGATGAGGGGAAAAGGAACAACGTCATAGCCCAAAGGAATCGGGTGAGGAGGAGGTCCGTCGGTTGCTCCAAGGACACGTGAAGAATTGTTTGGTAGCTTTCCGGATGGAACCCTGGATCTTCAATTATTTGGCTGATTACCTTCGAAGGAACGAACTTGTCCTTGACACGAGAATCAAGATCGAGGAGAAACTTGGATTCTTTTTTTAGATGCTCAGCCATAACTCTTCCTATGAGGATCTCCAGGTCCAATTTGACCATAGCAATGATACATTTCACCGCCACCTAAACCACTTCTTCAATCATGTTCTGCCAGGTCTTGCTCGCGAGTTCCTGAAACCTCCCAACCCTAATCTAGTCCATCCAAAAATTGCCACAAATCCAAGATTCTTTCCTTTCTTCAAAGACTGCCTTGGTGCCATTGGTGGCACCCACATTCCTATTTCAATTGCCTCTGAAAAAGCTGCCCCTTTTAGAAATAGGAAGTCAACACTGAGCATCAATGTTATGATTGTTTGTGATTTTGACCATAAGATCACGTATGTTTCTAGTGGATGGGAGGGTTCTGCTACGGACTCTAGAGTGTTGAGGTCTGCTATGAGCAAAGGATTCGAGGTGCCTCCAGGCAAGGCTTATCTTGTCGATGGCGGGTACGCAAACACCTCTTCTTTTCTAGCACCATATCGGGGAGTCAAATACCACTTAAAAGAGTTTGGGGCTGGACATAGAAGACCACAAAATCCTAAAGAGTTGTTTAATGATCGCCATGCACTACGATGTGAAAAGGACTCTAGGAGTGCTTAAGAAGCGCTTTCCTATTCTTAAAGTCGCAACATTCCACAAGTTGAAGAATCAAGTCAAAATACGCATTGCAACCGCTATATTTCACAATCTAATCAGGGAAATGGAAGGAGATGAGTTGTGGCTAGATGATCAGCCAGATAATATCGACCCAACAGACTTTGTTGATTTGCCAAGTGGTTATCAAAGGCAATATAGCTAGCAGTGAAGAGGGCAATGCATTGAGAGACTCAATTGCTCAAGAGATGTGGGTCCAGTATCAGCAGCATGTACATTAGTCGACATTAGTCATGAGTCATGTAATAATTGAATAAAGTTATGTATAATATGAGTCATCATGTAATAGTTGAATAAATTTATGTATAATATGACAGCTATGGTTGGAAGAGGTTCACCAAAACTCAGTATGATTCCAAAGGGATCTCCTAAGTTTGGTAGGATGCTATCTGCAGCAAGTACTAGGATGAAGACAGTCTCTCCTCAAAGCATACTTGCTAAGAAGACTGCAAGCTCTCCAAAAGGTATGGTATTTATTGTTTGTTCATGGTTTCTCAATACTCAACACAATGTACATCTATTATGTCTGTAAATGATTCTAAAGATGATTCCTTTTAGGCAACCAAGTCAAGCAGAGAGCAATTTGGAACGCGGAGTTGGAGAAGTCACTTGTTGAAATCCTTTTCGAGTACAAAGTCAATGGTTGTAGAGGAGATAATGGCTGGACCACTAAAGGTTGGAATAGAATGGTGAAGGAATTCCACGCAGGGAACAAATGCGTATCATTCACCAAAAATCAAGTTCAAGAGGAGGGTCAACTGAAAAGAGATTACAAGATGTTGAAAGCGGTCAGACAACAAAGCGGGTCTTCTTGGAACGAGAAGAGATGCATGGTCGAGGGATCGCCAGCTATGTGGCAAAACTTGCAAATTATAAGTGGATTTGTGATCAATATCTTCCTTTGCATGTGATTTGTGATTTCTTTGATGCCTTACAATGATTTGTGGTTATGCTTTTGCATGTGTAGACATTCCCAAAGATCAAAAAGTTTCGCAACAACAAGGCCAGCTTTCCCTTGTATGATGCACTTGGTGAGCTATATGACGGTAAGTTTTGATCTTGCTGTCCAAATTAATGAGTTCTCTTTGTCCAAATTAATAAGTGACTCATTAGGAATATTTTGTTTGGATATAAGTAACTTGGTAGAAAAATTGCTACTTATCTACAATTTAAAGTGTGTACTGTTTCCTTGTTCTTACACAGGCCATCTTGCTGAGGGAAAACACAACTGCACCTCCTTTGATTCAATGGAAGATGAGAAACCCCTGAGGCTAGTACAGGAATTGGAAGATGATAGTCAAGAGCAAGATGATGTTGTGCTGCTCGAAGACCAAAGAAACTCAAGAGAGGAAGAAACTGATGTTGTGCTGCTTGGAGACCAAAGAAACCCGAGAGACAAAGAAACTCAAGCTGAGGATTCAAGAATTGTTACTGAAGAGCAAAGAAGACAGGCTTTAATAGCAAAGAGGAGACAAAAAAAGAAGATAACAAGACTAGTAAGAATTCAAGAGTGGAGAGCATGATGGAGCGATACCTTGAGATGAGGAGTAAACAAGCCGAGGAAGAAGTTGCAGCTAGAGAGAAGGTATGTTCACAAGCAACAGATTATTTTGTCAAGTGTGTATTTATTGAGCTCAATGGATGTTACCAAACAAGAGAAGGCAAAGGATTATGCAGTTCTTAAGACCCCAGCAAATAGAGAAGTCTTTATGTGTGCTTGCGAAGATGACTTAGAGTCTGCTTTAATTTAGCTGAGAAGTGAAATGGCCTAGCATCACCAAAGGTTAGTTCTCGTCCTTGTTTTCTACTTGAAATTATATTCATATTTGTTTAGTTTGATAGTGAGTCGGCGATTTAAATTTCACTTCAATTCCTTGTTTAGTTAGGGCCTTAGGATTGAGACTTGAGAATGGGAATAGAGTAGAGAATGGGATGGACAAAGGGGGTTGGGACTTAGATTGGCTGCATCTTTTATTACATAAGAAAGGTCTGTGTATTTAGAGCTTGTGTTAACAAATTAACAATTGGAGATAGACATTCTCAACCATATAATATCATTGGTTTGGCAACTAATGATGCCATATTAGTTGCCACTGTGGTCCTAAGATTTATCTGTATGCTATCAAGATTTCTTTTGTGAGTCATCTTTTCTTATGTTATGTGTTTGAGCTCATTTTACTGTTCTTTACTGAAGCTAATGCTGAAACTAATCATGTAAACCACCATCCTGAACATATATTGTTCTTTACTCATTTTACTGATCATGTAAGCTAATACTGTTCTTTACTCATTTTACTGTTCTTTAATTTTCTTGACAGTTGACACATTTGATGAAGGAAAACAATGGAAGTACATGGTCCAAGGTCGCCAGGGTGACAGAATGGATCCAAGGTCAATACTCAAAGCTACTAGACTGCCATAGGAGAAGGACATGGTCTGAGTACAAGAGGATTTATTTGCTGCTCTGACAATATAGAATATTTATGTTTTCAAACTGGTTACAAAATTATGCTTTGGACTTATGCACTTTGGGTGTAATTGTAATTTATTTTTTGGATCTAGTGACCATTTTCATGTTTAAACATGATATTAGCACTTTGGGTCTGAGTATTTAGTCACAGCCATTATGAGCTGTTCTTGGGACACGGAGAAGATTATCTTTTGGGGGATATCAATAATGGAAACTCATCTATTTGTTAGTGTCCTCTAACTAGGTACTGCAAGAGACATGGCTATCTGACCCCATATGAAATAACCTGTGGCTGTGTTCTCTTACATTCACTGGTGGAGAGATGGTTTATACTCCCAGTTGGTAATTTCCTTTAGTCCCGGTTTTCAAACCGGGATTACAAATCCGGGTTCAAACACCCGGGACTAAAGATCGACTAAAGATATAGTATCGTTAGTCCTGGTTTGTAACACCAATCAGGACTAAGTTTTTTTTTTTTGCTATTTTTTTTAGCTCACGCCCATTATCTCAAATCATTCACAGCAACTTCATCCCAAATCAACACAACAACTTGCAACTTCATCCCAAATCAACACAACATTCTCAACCCAAATCATTCACAACAACTTCGTCCCAAATCATTCATAATAATATAGTTCATTCGCAGCATAGATCGAATTAACACAGATTGAATCATTCAACATCCTCATCACAGATTGCATTCAACACAGAGAAGAAAAAAGAAAAAAAATACGTGCAGATCTGCCCCTCTCGGATCCAGCGGCGGCCGGCCGCCTCCCCTCCCAGATTCGCTGCCGCCAGGCCGCCGCGCGAGGCCGCCTTCGTGCCGCCCGGCCGCCGTGGCCCGACCGTCTGAGAGGTGGGGAGGAGAGGGGAGGGGGCGGATCCAGAGGAGGAAGACGAAGAGATGGGAGGAGGAAGAAGAGGAACAGGAAGAGAATGAAGAGAAGAGGACAGCCAGCCGCCTCCCCTCCCAGATTCGCTGCCGCCAGGCCGCCGCGCGAGGCCGCCTCCGCGCCGCCTGGCCGCCGTGGCCCGACCGTCTGAGAGGTGGGGAGGAGAGGGGAGGGGGCGGATCCAGAGGAGGAAGACGAAGAGATGGGAGGAGGAAGAAGAGGAACAGGAAGAGAATGAAGAGAAGAGGAGGAAGAGATGGGAGATGAAGAGGAGGAATAGAAGGAGATGAATTTATTAAGTGACCTGTGCGCCTTAGTCCTCTCGATCTCCGCCCATGGCTCGTCCTCTCCGCCCATGCCGATATTTTTTTCTGGTTGGTGTTACCAACCAGGACTAGAAATAGATCTTTAGTCCTGGTTGGTAACACTAACCGGTACTAAAGATAAATGAGGGGTCTGACACCGCCTGCTGTTTTTGAATCGGGACTAAAAAATGATCTTTAGTCCCTGTTGGTAAAGATCAAAAAGTAGCTTTAACCTTTTGAACCGGGACTAAAGAATATCTTTAGTCCCGGTTTTTATTGTAACCGGAACTATTGTGGAATTTGGTCGACCGACCAAAGATGGTTTTTCCAGTAGTGATTTGGCAGCAGTACGTGTTCTAGTTCCTACCTGTGACACATCCAAAATTATCCTATATAGATAAAGTTTTCAGTAGACTTAGCATGGGATTTTAGGGATAACAGATCATAGTTTTTAGTTTGCTACAGTATTCTGAATCAGAGTTAGCATCGGCAGTTTTTAGACTTAGCGTCGGCAGCTTGCATAGCTTCATTCCAGGTGGATTAAGAAATAACCGAATGCTGTTTTTTGAAGAGGTGAACTAAGAAAAGGAGTGGATTCAATCCACAGGTGGTTCCAGTGAATTCACCTGGATTCATTCAATCCTAGCCTGGATCAGTTCCCGGCCTAGATTGGAAACGGGTCTGCTGAACAAGGCCTTGTGCATCGATCCACAGGCCTCCAAGCAGATGGCTAGTGAGTCCATACTTCTATCCAATCTCTATAGAAATAAGTTCACTTTGACTCCCTCAGCGGTTTTGGAGGACAGTTTTGCTGACGTGACACCTACATGGCGATATTGATCGAGTCTTCGTTCCACGTGGCATTGACATGCACTTACGTGGCATTTGAATTAAAAAATATGCGTGGGACCCATTAGTCATTAACAAAAAAAGAAATGTGGGCCCACTGACATGCAGGGCCCACATGTCAGTCCTCCCTGACTCCTTCCTTCTTCCCCCTCCCTCTCTCCCTTCTCTCTCTTTCTCTCCCATTCTTCTTCCCCTACGGCCGGTGGTGTGTGGTGGCAGGCAAGCTAGGGCGACGAAGGCGAGCCCGCAGCGGCGGTGGCAAGCGACGAAGGATGGCGGAGGGCGGGAGCAGGCCAATGGCGGCAAGGGAGTTGGACAGTGACATCAAGCAGCGAGCGGGGGAGGAGGTGGGCGGCGCATCTTACTGCGAGGAGCAGGGTGGGCGACATCAGGGCGGCGCTGGCAAAGCGAGGTGGTCGTGACGGTGGGAATCCCGGCGAGCCGCGTAGCCGAGGGTGAGGAGTGGTGGCGTAACAGCACGAGGGCGGAGGCGGAGCACACGGCCGGCCTGCGCCATGGCGGGGGCGACGGCGGTGGCGGCCGTCGATCCAGCTGTAGGAGGGCGGTGGGGGGAGTGGCTCCGCCCGATGCGGACGCGGTCGCCGTGGTAGGGGAGGCGGGCGGTGATGCCGAGGAGGTCGTCGTCAGGGAGATCCTCCACCTCACCCTATCCATGGCAGCTACCGCCGGATGCCAGTCGTACCCATCCAGCCAGCGGCAACCACCCACCGCTCCCAGTCGCCGGACGCTGCCGCTATTGATATTTCTTAACGACATTATAAGAAATATAATTTCCAGTAATGACGCAGAAATACTTTTGGTATATTATGGTTACAGAGTTCATCCACAAGCGCACAGATATACCATTGTAGCATTTCACCCGAGAGTATTCCAAGGGTATCGTATTTATTTTATCCTGTGGGAAGATCATGTAGAGAGAACTTGACTAATAATTTATATATTACTCGTGGTAGTCATATTCTAAGCAGGGGTTAAGATAATCCAAGGGTAGAGTGACACACAAGCATTAACTACTCATTCTCATAATATATTATCTAAGCTAAGTGGAAAGAAAAGAGAAAGAAAATCTATTCCTACACTTCTAATATAAATAGTATACATACACTCTAGTTAACTGATATACTAGCTAATACCCTCTATCCGATGCCCTCCTGGTACTTCGAGAAGCCAACCCTGACTGCCGAGTTCCTTACGACAACCCGTCATGACCATACAACCGGGGCTAAATACGAAGGAATACCCTCCCAAGGAAATTAACTTAGGATTATATATCGGCGCGAAGGAATACCCGTACTGAGCTGTCACCATCAGCGGCCTACCTCTCATCCGCAATATATAACCCCAAATAATGATATCCCGTAGTCCAGACACCACGTCTAAACTACCAGATAATACTCTAATATCATCGTCATGACATAGAGTAATTGCATATGCAAACATTATACCCGCACCAAAGCATCTCCCAGATAAGCTAGCCTTATATTCAGTATAACATGAACATAATGTAAAGTAGGCATTTATATACTCGGAAAGTATTTCAATACCATAAATTTATATAGAAGAGTATTCTAATAAAAGTATAAAGCTTACAAAAGAGAAGAGAAAAGCTACTAGAGTCATACCCGAACTCTTCCGAAGGCTTCCGGACTCCTGATTTCTACTCTATTCCTATTCCACCAGCTAGATAATACTAAACTAACTAGAGAGAAATGAGAGAGCTTTTGCTTGAGGAGTGTGAGTGAAGTGAGAAGAGGAGCTCCTTAAATAGATAGGTAATGACAGTTGTGACGGTTGGAATGGTCGGTAATACCCTCCAACCGTCATTGGGGATCAATCCTAGCCGTCCATCCAAACCCTGCATGCATCGGCGCCACGGGAGGTTCTGCTGAACCATGGGCTTGCCCAACCCAGCCCATCTTCGGCTTGCGGCCTCCTTTGTTGTCCTCCTCCGTAGACTTGTGAATTTTGGCTCAATGTGTCGTGTTATTTCTGAGTTCTTGGCCCATTCATACATAAGTCTGGTTCTCGACATCGTCCGATTGATTTATCATCTGTCTTGATGTCGATTCTTCTCCACTTTAGTGTCATTCTCTGCAAAAGGTTAGTATACCTAATACTATTGGAATATTATTATTCTAACAGATATATGCATTGCAAGCATCACTAGTTCTCCTCTATTTTAGTAATATTGACGGTCGAAACTGATCGATAACGACCGTCAACAAAAACCCCCCAAGCTTGAACCTTTGCTCATCCCGAGTGAAGGACGAAAGGAAAGAAAGACTTGGTTGTTGATCAGGAGTTGCTACTATGCTGCATATCTCAAAGATACAGGTGCAGGGTATATGTACTCTCTCTCAGATTAAATAATCTTTGGCACGATGGCTTACCCTTACCCCTGATTCCCACGAGACACTGTTTCTCCTTGCCTTGGGCGGTTGAAAGACAGAACAGTAATTAGAGCACCAATCACCCAATCTTTATTCAACTCTTATTCCGGAAGTTTTCAAATGATTTTGCAAAAGAAAACCAAATTCCTCAAATGATTCACTCAGTCTCTTCAAGTGTATCAAAATGAATTCCTCACCAATTTTGCCTTTTTGATTCCTACTCTAAGGTTTGATATGTGGAGCTCGGTAGGGATCAAACATGGCATACTTGCATTCACATTTATTACTAAGTCAAAAACTTAGACTAAAGCAGATGACTAAATATACTCAAGATCAAGATCGTGCAAAATGTGTGTGTGGTGTATGATGAAAGTGGTATATGAGGAAAAATAAAGAAAAATGCTTCTCCTTTGTGGTTACTTTCTTCTCCCAAAAATCCTTCTTTTATTGATTAGGAGAGGGCATGGCTACAATTGTTTTTTCAATATCATGCTCATGCTTGATGGAGCATAACTTTATTATATATTTTTTTTTCATAACCATGCCTTTCCCTCCTCTTTCTTTTTTTTCAAAAGGATTTTCTTTTTAGGAGAAGAAAGCACATGAAAGCATGGAGAATTTATTTTGGTGGTAAAATGGAAATGGAATGGAATATTGCTTAGCTCCCAATGTAGGAGTTTAGCATGTGCATATATGTGGGTGTATGATCTTGATCATAGAGTATGAGAAGTATCTACACAAGTTACAAGAGTTTGACAAAGTTCAATGGAATG